TGTTGCTGTTTGACATCAAAAACATTGACGCTTTCATTTTTGACTAAGAATAGTAAGGTGACACTGTTGTTTGGGGCGATGACAGAGAGTAATGGGCCGTCCCAGTAAGGGGGGAACACATACTGAACTGGCCTGCATAGTTTCAAAGGCAGAACCCCGGGGAATCGCATGCTTCAGTCGCCATATGCTCCATGCAGACTGAACAACAGGAGCCAGACAGAGACAAACTGTAATATGAGCCCATCAAAAACAATTTGAATTTCAAAAACACATTATGTAACTTTGATTTATGGTGCCAAATCAGAGGGAAACGGGGGCTTCCCTGAAATCATCAGCTGTCTCTTTTAGCCTTTATTTCTGTAGACAGATTTTCAAGAGGCGATGAGATTTTATTAATGTTATGTGACCTTTAAGACTTGTTGAAAGACATTTTTTGAATCAGGTTTGCCAAACTGGGGCACTGGCCTCTGACTTCTTTCTAATGTGGTCTAAATAGTCATGAGGAAGCCACAGAAACAGAAATTACATTGTGTGTGTGTGTGTGTGTGTGTGTGTGTGTGTGTGTGTGTACCAGGTTGACAGTCGGCAACACTTTTGAGGGATAGTTGGATGTACAAAATTACAGTAATTCATGACTGCTTGATATTTCTAAACTTTAAAGGATTACACCTTGGATCCAAACCTACTTTTCAGCAATTGGATGCACAAATGTTGAAGTTGAAAATGATGGATGCCTCTCTCTTGTATCCACAGAGGTTTTTTCTTGCGTGTCAGCAGAACTCCTCAGCCAGAAATAAGCATCTAGAAACAGATCACATCAATCAAACTCAGCAGAAACCTGCTTCTTCTTCTGCTTCTTCTACTTTATTCTCCTTTTGCTCTACTTTGATACTTTTGGGCTCTTTGCCATCAAGGTCAAAGACGTTCTGCCCAGAGGTTGACTTTTGGATTGTTAAGCAGGGTTTAGGCAACTGCAAAAAAAAAAAACAACTGCAGAAACTCTAGCCAGAATTCAGTGTGTGCATGCCCAGAGAAGTGGAGCAACAGTCGTAAATTCATAAATTGTGGTTTGGAGGTTCCACACATTGGTTTCAGTGATCACTGATCCTGTTGAGCTGAAGGAACGCTGCGAACAAATTGAGCTTGGAGTCGCTGTCATAAAACAAGACACGACTGGAGAACTTGTCTGTGACACTTAGAGTTGTGTTTGCTTTGCATGTCTTTCAACTTTTAGGTGTTTTAGTACATTCCTGAGGACGCAACAGTTAGTTGACTAATCAAGTGTTACTTAAATAGAATGACCAAACCCCATGAGGATTATGTTTGAGAATTGCATAGGAGATGTGGGTTATTTTATGATAACTGGAAAAAATATCAGTCACGAGTACTTCCCTTAAAGCTCATCTTATAATTATTGATCCTATTTTTTTTTTTTTTTTTTTGTGTTTTTATTTAAGTTTTTACATGCTTACAACTGTTACAGATGACGGATTTTCTTCATTCCTTTTTCAGAGCACACTAATTATTTATTTCTGTCAAGAACTAGACAATTCAAGACAAGACAATTTCAACCAAAACCTTAAAAAGTGTATATGGAGTTAATTACCAACCCTGCCTTTAAGTCGGGGCATCTCTTACATGATCAATGGTCCTATATATCCTCGTAATTGGTCACGGAGCAGACCTAGTTTGTCATGATAAAACGTAGCCAAGAATTGAAAGTTTTTGTTCATCATAGATTGAGGGAGACTGCTGACTGGACGTGAGCACTCTGACAATATGATCAGTGTGGGTCCTGTAAAAATAGAAATATTGCAGGTATACTCGTGCATAATTTATGAACTGTAGACTGTAGGAGCAGCCGCAGACTATGCCGCATATGAGTGGCACATGTCGCGGCATATGCCGGTCCGGTCTACTCATGTGCCACAGCATATGCCGCACCAGAGCTGTTAAGGGTTTGGTGCCTTGCTCAAGGGTAGTCGGCAGTACTCAGGAACTGACCTGGTGCGTCTTCAGCCACCAGACCATCATCAATCCTTTGGTCCACACAGAGATTTAAACTGGAGTCCAACCTAAGTCCCTACAGAGTCAATAAACCTTCAAGCAGGAACATATTTGACATACTTAAATGTTATTAAAGTAGATATGATTAGCAGAGATAAAAAGGGTAATTCATGCCTTTCATCTGTGTGTGACAACATTCAGCCACTCCTGCAGTAGTCCCCAGTATGGCCACGCCAGACAAGAAAGTCTAGCTCTGCCACTGCTGCAGTTGTGAATGGCAGCGCATCCCAGGGGAATGATAAAGACACATTATAAATACAAGATAGTGTTCCAGGTCCACAAATTAAAAGTGCAAACACAGTTTTCTCCTCGGTGTGATTCAGTGCAGATTTACTCCTTAAAAAGACATTAAGGTAAAAGAAAAATCCCTGCTAAGGTAGAAAGTAGAATGCTGACTAAAGAGTTCAAAAACATGGCAACCCTCTTCATCACTGGACATAAATATTTATTATCCAGCTGATAACATGGCACTTAGAAAAGATTGGAGAGAGAGAGGAAGGTTAAAGACCTTTTCTGGTGTGTTAGCGCCCTCTGCTGGTCCATGATGTGTCGTTACACATAAAGCAACAACGTTACTAAGTTTAAGATGGAGTTAATGTTGTTTTATATATATATAGAGAGAGAGAGAGAGAGAGAGAGAGACTATAAAAATGGGAATGGAGTGATGTCACATATTTAGGGAACTCATATTAAACCACTGATATTAAATGATTGAACATTAACATAAAGTAAATTTAGTTAATGCTCTGAATTAAAAGGTTACTTTGCTGTCTAAAACTCAAATATCACACAGGGCCAAATAGATAAGGGCACATTACATTTCAGGCACATTGACAACTCTACTTGTCTTGAAGGTAAATTATTCATCTTGTACTGCCTTCTTTGCTACAGGCGGAATATAGAGCACCACTAAGCTGAAATTTAGCAGACTCAAAATAGAAATCAACCTCTTTATTCTGCAAAGAAGAGGGAAATGAAATTGTACCAGAAATGTCTTCTGACAGGTTACAAGACAGCAGCCTAAATCCAGTCGTGGTTCATTAGTGGCATTCTGTCAACAGACATGAACCTACTCTGTGAGCAAAATGCTAAAAATACTAATTCAAAGACGGCAGCAGTGACAACACTGTAACATTAAGAAGCAGACAATAAAATCAAGATGATAAATATTATATTATTTGTAAACATGATGCATGCAAGTAGGTCATCACATATCTGAAAAAGCTCAGCTTGCACAAATTTACTCTGCATGTGTGTGTGTGTGTGTGTGTGTGTGTGTGTGTGTGTGTGTGTGTGTGTGTGTGTGTGTGTGTGTGGCCATTGTTACTCCGTCCACATACAGTAGATGATCTTTTAAAGATCCTGTGTGAAGTTCTACGCTGGTAATGAAACTGACTGAAATTAAGACTGATGACACTTTATGAGCTACAACAGCAAACAAGCGATCAGCAACAAGATCGTTATCTTCTACATAGTTATTTTTAATTCTTTTAACGACTGTCGGCGGGTATAGGTGTCAGATGAATTGAGTTAGGGCGCGGTCACACTGGCCAAATGAACTGGACTTTAGGGTTGAACTGGCTTGGGCACGGTACGGATGGCCAGTGTGACCTGCACACTGCTGAAACAGACTTTGTTGTTATTTTCCTCTGCACAGTTTCACAGTGAGTGACTTTAATAACCGTCAAAAGACAGCATGAGGAGATTTAACGGTCAGAACGCTTATTACAAATATACAGGATGAGCCAAGAGCTGAGACTTTATCCACATGGTGTGCCAACATCAATGCAAACCAAAAGTGCATCACAGGAGCAGCTTTAGATGCAAAAATACAATGTCTTAAAAAAAGGGCTGTCAGCATCAACTAGTTAATCGTGATTAATCAGAAGTTAAATTACTGAATTAATTTAGTTTTTGATCCTAACAAGTTCTTTTTTCTGAGGTTAAGTAAATGCCCTTTAATCCCTTGATCTACCAGAAGGTCCTTATTATTTCTAAAATAAAAGCAGGGTTGAATTCAAACAGCAAGTTAAGTACTAGCAGTACAAAAATTCAAAATAAAAGCCTAACAATTTTGAAATTTCAAACGTGATTTAAAATGCAATTATCGGGATTAACTATTGAACTTTTGTGATTGATCATTTGAATCGTTTGATTGCATGACAACCATGGGTACATTTGAAAGTAAAGGTAAGATAAGGTAAGATCTGCCCTATGAGCTAGAGTCTAGACTAACCCTACAAAAACCTCCCAAATGAGCTTTTCAAGAAAAAAAAAACCCAATAAAAAAACACTCTCATGCTGTTATAGTTGAGTCTTGACAGTGAATGATATAAATGAGATCACTCTTTGCAGATCATGGAAGACTTTGGAAATGAGGGATAAATATTAAGGACATAGTGAGGAGAATGGTAGATTTAATTAATAATGTTAAAAAAAAAGTGGGGCGCACAGCAGGGATTTGAAAACTCAGAGGAAAAGACAAAAGTTTAATTTGACTTGAAAGAAACTAAGGTAAAGTTTAAATGTGTGTTGAAATAGCATCGAGAAAGAGGAGAGTTTTCCTTTTTTTTTCAGGGATGTACTTTGATACAAGATTGAATTGGAGAGAACGAGTAGGCTACATGCAGCCACAATATAGGAATATAATTAATGCCATGAGGTGTATGTCAGAATTAACCTGGGGAGCTAATTCTATATCTTTTATTATGTAGTTGTTTATGGATACTGAACCAGGAACGGCTTTATTAAAAATGGGACACAAGCTCAATAATACAAACATTTTCCAAGCACATAAGAAAGTGTATAAGCAGACCCAATCGCAAAAGGAAGACCTCATGCCCAAATGAGACTGGACAGTTTACTCGACTGTAGGTAGGCTGCAAAATAGGGGGAACCAGAGGGTGGCAGTAATGCAAACAAAACGGATATCGACTACCGTTTAACTCCAGCGAAGAAGAAGAAGAGGCCTCCGCTGTGCAGAGCATCTGAAATGGCTCGTCTATTACACTCAGAAATCGTTATTTTCACTGTTTTGTTTGCCTTAAACACGGATTTTGTTTGTTGTAATACCGGTCGAAGAGTAAGTATTTACGTGTATCCATATAACCCAACGACTGAGTACGGTTAAAGCGGAAGCTGCTCCTGTCAGCTCTGTCATTAGCATTAGCTTCGTCCGTCAGAAGGCTAACTGTGGCTTTCATATTTATTTATTTTTTGAACAGGTTGGCGATGTTATGGACACTGAATTAAGTGGTTTCTCCGTGCCCCTTGAGCACTCATTTGAAGTCGGTGAGAAAGTCTTCTTTTAACTTGTTTTTATTTATCAGATGTGGTATGATATTATTAATGCTGGTTAGCTAGATACCCCGGATGACAGCGTTTGATTGAAGAAGCCGACTCACATCTCATCCACTAAATTGTCTATTTAACTAAAGTTTTTTTTTTGATGTATTAAAACATTATTTATGATGTTCAGTAGGCGTGAACATCCTCTAAACTGTCAATGAGTTACTTCCTGAGATTCCTGTGTGAAATATAAAACAGATGTGACAGGTGCTTGTCATCCAGTTGTTTATTTACCCTACCTGTTTATCTTTATATACCCTACCTGTTTACCTTTATATACCCTACCTGTTTATCTTAATATACCCTACCTGTTTACCTTTATTTACCCTACCTGTTTATCTTAATATACCCTACCTGTTTACCTTTATTTACCCTATCTGTTTACCTTTATTTACCCTACCTGTTTACCTTTATTTACCCTACCTGTTTACCTTTATATACCCTACCTGTTTACCTTTATTTACCCTACCTGTTTATCTTTATATACCCTACCTGTTTACCTTTATATACCCTACCTGTTTACCTTTATATACCCTATCTGTTTACCTTTATTTACCCTACCTGTTTACCTTTATTTACCCTACCTGTTTACCTTTATATACCCTACCTGTTTACCTTTATTTACCCTACCTGTTTACCTTTATATACCCTACCTGTTTACCTTTATTTACCCTACCTGTTTACCTTTATTTATCCTACCTGTTTACCTTTATATACCCTACCTGTTTACCTTTATATACCCTACCTGTTTATCTTTATATACCCTACCTGTTTATCTTTATTTACCCTACCTTTATATACCCTACCTGTTTATCTTTATATACCCTACCTGTTTATCTTTATTTACCCTACCTGTTTATCTTTATATGCCCTACCTGTTTACCTTTATATACCCTACCTGTTTATCTTTATATACCCTACCTGTTTATCTTTATATACCCTACCTGTTTATCTTTATTTACCCTACCTGTTAGCTTTATATACCCTACCTGTTTATCTTTATTTACCCTACCTGTTTATCTTTATATGCCCTACCTGTTTACCTTTATATACCCTACCTGTTTACCTTTATATACCCTACCTGTTTATCTTTATATGCCCTACCTGTTTATCTTTATATACCCTACCTGTTTATCTTTATTTACCCTACCTGTTAGCTTTATATACCCTACCTGTTTATCTTTATTTACCCTACCTGTTTACCTTTATTTACCCTACCTGTTTATCTTTCTATGCCCTACCTGTTAGCTTTCTATGCCCTACCTGTTAGGTTTATATGCCCTTTGTCCTCCTTGTTTCAGATGATGTAGCAAAGTTTCGTGTGCGTGGAGCGCTGGTGTTGAAAGCTGGCAGGGAGCACAGCCTCTCACTCAGTCAGAACCAGCTTTCTGAAGAAGACAGGGTCAAACTGAAGGTAAAACAGGAGGAAGTTGAAGTAATGTTTATTAACAGGATCTTTAGCTTTTTATTTCTCATTTTTTTAACTACAAGCTTAATTACCTTTGGGACACATTATGCTCATACCCATGCCACAAACAAAACTGTCTTGTGACAGCAGCAAAATGGGCATTGATGGTTAATAATTACTAGAGTTTGAAAAAAGACTTTGAGCTATCACAAGAGTGTTGTTTATTTTCACGAGTGTTACATTGGTTTTAAGTTGTAAGTTGACACAGTCACACTGTAATGGTTGTTGTGGACCCCAGGAGGAATGGGGATCCTAAGAAACTAAACAAAACAGATCATTTTCCTGCATCTCTGACATGTTTGTTTTGAATGACTCCACAGGAAGTGGCTGCAGTGGACGGTCTGTACAGAATCAGAGTTCCTCGTGTTTTCCTGCAGGCAGACCGACAGACAGAGCGCCAGATGGAGGGATACCTCACAGCATTTGTCAGAGCTGTGTGTATTTAACTTATCTTATGTATATAATATATTACCAGGAGAGTATACTGCAAAAAGATGTTTACAGTTTCTATTTAATACAACTTTATTAGAGGAGTGAGAGTATCAGCACATTGAGACATTTATTGATTTTGATACGCCCTGGGGCTTGTTAATCAAATGACATCTATTTTCAAGGTCTTTATGTATTTAGGGCCATGTACTTTGTTTTGAAAAAATTATTAATAGATATTTTTTGGTTGTTTTTGGGAACTAGCTGGCTAAACTTACAGCCTGCACCTTTGCTGGTCGGTCCCAGAATCACAAATCGGTTTAACTTATTATTAACATTTGAATTCATTCAGGACCACAATGCCGAACAATAAATATGTCTAAACTCTTATGCCGCTGGCTGCTACTAGGGTCAGCTGTGGCTCAGTTGGTAGAGTCGGTTTCTCTCGACTGGAAGGTTGAGGGGTCGATCCCCAGCTCATGCGGCACATGTCAGATGTGTCCTTGGGCGAGACACATAGTCCCCAATTACTCTCGCTGTTTTGTGGGCGGTGTATGAATGATTAGTTAATACTTTTTCTGTGCACTGCTTTGCTACAGTAAACGGTTTAATACTAAAAGAAGGAATTTATAGATCCCATGTGTAGTGATTTTTATTGAAGTATAATGAAAATATTATTGCCGTAGCAGATATGGGATCATGCTTCATAAAAGAATAATGCATATACTTTTTCAGTATTTATCATAATCTACTTCTTACTATACTTAAATTTATATTCTGGAATGAGAGCAACTGTAATGCAACTTAATCCTTCAGGGTAACATTAAAATCTTTCCTAATGCTTGTTCTGATTATAACTTCTATTCTGCTCTGATCCTCAGTGTGCCATGGTTGAGTCCCATCTGAGCGACGTCATCAACATCCACACTGACGTGTCTGGGTACCTAATTGGCATCTCCATAGTGACAATACCTGGAGCCTGCAGGGGCACCGAGGTCGAGGATGAAGTTGATCTTGAGATTTTCAACACCACACTCAGCATAATGGCTCCTGTTAATGCACCAGGGTCAGTTCTTGATTTGTTAAATAAGCTTGAGTACATTTCTACCATCCACATCTTGGCTGTCTGCAGAAGTGAAATCCTCTTGGGTGGCTTCTTTGTTTAGATTTCTTTGATTCAGTTTTTCTGCAAAGAAGCCTCACATAATTTTCCCCCCACAGGAAGAAACAAGTCTGACTTTCAAATACACCGTCTGTTTTGTGTTTTCTTGAATACTAATTACCTGCTTTCTTTCAGGCCCGAGACAGCTCTGTTCCTTGAACGAATGGATCTGGAAACTGCGAAGAAAGAAAAGAATCCACAGGAGCAGAAATCGTTCTTTGCTAAATATGTAAGTAGTCCCGCTGAAAACTGCAGATAAGGCTGGCACGCTGTTCCTAAAGATATTCACTTTGCCTTTGGTAATTCTTCTCTGATCTCTGTAATATGCAATAGCTCATAAAGTTAATGAAAACATGAAATGCTGATTTAGTTCATTCAGTTTTTTCAAGCTCAATCAGAAGCACTCCAACTTCTTATACACAACTTGCCTGCAGCATTTGTTTAAATAAATGATAAAGGACATGTCAGTAATGTAAGTCTTTGAAAAAGTCCTAATTATTGCAAATGTTTGGTTTGTTGTCACTGTCTGATTCAGTGATTCTCAGTATAAGAACCATTTCATGCATTTGCTTCAGTTTATTTGGATCAGACCAAGGGGAAAAGATGCATTGTTTACTTTATTTCTAGACCAGTTTTTTGTTTTATTCTCCAAGAAGCCCTAAGGAGTAAACTTTAAGTCCTACAGTCTGACTGGTTACTCACTGATTTGTATAAACCTTAAAAAACCCACTTTTTGTCTACTCAGGGGAGAATGCTTCATTTATATGTTGACATGTTTATGAACAGTAATATGCCCGCCCCCTGGGATGTGTTGGATGCCAGCTCTAGCTGTTCAATCACCTGCAGACAGAATAATACAATCAAAACTCCCTTTGCCAAAATCAATGTATTGACAGGAAAAGACAAGACAGTGTAGGAGAAAGTGTAGGGCTCAGTTTTTCTCGGCTACAAGTAGGGGGAGCTCCAGGGAAAAAAGTTTGTGACTCAGAACCAAACAGGTTTGTTGTTTATTATCATGGTGTCATAGTTTGGGACCCACATCTATTCATCCATTCTTCTGTTTGATTCTGCTGACTTGATCATACAAGTTGACTCGTCATCCAAGATTATTTTGCCAGCAAATTCAGTGGTATAGTTTAGTTGGTATTGTTGTTTTTAAAGCAGTTTTGAGACTCTGTCTTCTTAATGTTGAGCTGCCAGTCGGAGTGCAAAGCTCTCCTCACTCAAGCTCCATGTTTTTTAAACACAGAGAAACTGTCCTCGTCTCTTTTTGACTCGGCTCCTCTGAGCTTCTGTATGACCTCTCCTCCAGCTTGTTGCGCTGTGTGTGTGCGTGTGTGTGTGTGTGTGCGTGTGTGTGCGTGTGTGTGCGTGTGTGCGTGTGTGTGTGTCTTGCTTTGTTCAGTGACCTTGTGACATTTTGTTGACTCGGTGCTGTGCTGTGTTCCAGTGGTATTTGATTCTGGGTGGTGCAATCTTCCTCATGGTCACCAATTCAGCACAGCCCCCAGCAGGGGGAGGAAGAGAGCAGAGCTGATTCCCACAGAAGTACTGTTTTCTTACTTGTGGCTCGTTCTGTCCCCCTTCCTCCTCTCTCAATTATGTTTCCCTCCTCTGTAATATGACTAACCGAAACTCACCTCCTTGTTTCCAACTCATTGCCCCCTTTTCTACTCTTTCACAGTTTACTTCAGGTTCAACACCAAATACATTTGAGATGGATAATTGCAAGTTTTCTTTATTCTCAAGTCTTTGTACAAGAAAGCCTCCATTGGAAACATTCAAGACATCTTAAATCTTAACTGTCTGGTTGAATATGCTGAACATGTGTTTGGCGTTTGATCCTGAGATTTCTCTTTTATCTCACCACTTTCGCACTTAACCTTTTCTCCTCCTCTGTTTAGAATATAACTCAAACCTAATCTGGGATGACCTGATTGGGAAAAGTACTCTGTAATCACAGCTAAATTAGTCATCTTGAACAAACATATAGTTTTGTTAATATCCTTTTTTGCCCTTGTCTTCTTCTCCAGTGGATGTACATCGTGCCGCTTGTTCTCTTCCTGATGATGTCAGGCGCTCAGGACCAATCAGGCGGAGGAGCCGGGGGTGGGGCAGCTAATGGAGGTGGCAGATGATGGACTGGACAACAGTTTCTTTATTGTACTCAACATTTTCTGAAGAATAACTGGCTTTAGACAGATTAACATTGCTGTACAGAATTCTGTTTAAGGAGGATTAATACACAAACACAAGTTAAACCATAGGTGACTGCATTTTTAATACTGATGTGAAAATAAAGTATTTATTACTTGACACTGATGATGTGACTCTTTGTTCTTAGAGATTCAGATTGAGTTGAAACTCCGTTACATCCATCCATTAGCTACTCACAGTTATCAGGTTACCAATAAAATGATCAGGTTCACTTGTTTGAAAATGTAATAAACGTTTGAGACTGTCTACTATTACTGGAGACTGGGGATTTTTTTTTTAAATCCAATTTATCATATATGATAGAAGTATTAAGAATTCAGTTTGAGATTTGTATTTGCAATAAGGACACATGGATGATGATGATGATGCTGTGTTTGAAGTTATGGTGGTATGGATTACATTCAGTATCAGCACTAGTTGAATCAGAGTGAAGGAATAAAATCATTTTCTCAATAACCATTATTAGTATCAAAAATATATCACATTGTAGTGCATCAATGTTATATTATACTTGTACTATTAGAATCAGAACAGCATAAACTGCAAAAAGATGTTGATGTCTTCTTTGTTATGATTATTTCAGTGTTAATACTGTTAAAGTAGAATATACTGCAATTGGCTTTTAATTATAAATAAACCAG